TATTAGATTGGAACTTACGATTATAATCCGAAGCAGAAGCAAATAAAAACTGGTTTAGCCTATCTTAGTTTTTCCTCACTCGAATTAGTTAGAAGACATCTAAAGTTCAATTTTCTCTCTTTGAACACAGAGGCTATATCTTGCTTAAACCGTGCTGTAAACCTTTTCTGTGACATTGGAAGACTCTCTATGGCTGCTAGATATTTAAAGGTAAACATATACACATGCGTGTGCACACACACAAATGCATGCACACACTCACATTTTTGCTTCATAATATTTAGAAAACGCATATTTGGCTATTTGTGGTATATAATGTATTGGTATCCCTTTTTAACTTGGTTTCACTTGTTTACAAATTAAATACAGGAAATTGCTGAATTGTATGAGTCTGAACAGAATATTGAGCAGGCTCTTGTTTACTATGAAAAATCAGCTGATTTTTTTCAAAATGAGGAGGTGACAACTACTGCTAACCAATGCAAACAAAAAGTTGCTCAATTTGCTGCTCAGTTAGAACAGTAAGATTTTGTATATTCTGCATATTGATCTATATTATTATATTGATGATGGTATATATTTCTTCAACTTAGATTCATTCTTTAATTGGTTAGAACTTAGTATTTTTTTCTTCAAACCATCTTTCGGGTCTTTTTTTTAAGTTCCTTTTTTGTCCAACCTACTCTCCTCTGGTTAGCATTAGCTTAGGTCACTGAGAATTTATTGGAATGGCCTATTATCTTAATAGAATTCTTGCATGTTTCTTTCCACAATTCATAATATGTTGACTTAGGTACATGGAATGAACAAAAGTAAGTCCATTACTGTATCTGCTATAGGTCACACGTTATTGTGTATGATTTGCTCTAATTACAACGGGAACTTTATTTTTTAAATGAAAGGAACTTTATCCGAACCTTCTTGCTATGTTAAATTGAATATTAACTGTTTCCATTTGATAATCTTCAGATATCAAAAGTCAATTGAGATTTACGAAGATATAGCTCGTCAATCCCTCAACAACAATTTATTGAAGTACGGTGTTAAAGGACACCTGCTGAATGCTGGCATCTGCCAACTCTGTAGAGGGGACATTGTTGCTATAACCAATGCATTGGAACGATATCAGGTCTAATTTTTTCAATAATTTGAATCTAGAGACTGGACATATTACTAGTTGCTCAATTTTTTGGATATGTATTTTATTTTGCAGGAATTGGATCCAACATTTTCAGGAACACGAGAGTGTAGATTGTTGGCGGTAGGTGACTAGTTTTAGAGTTTCATTATTAAATTTTAATGGACAACTAGATTATATAAAGAATATGTGGACTTCTTCGAACTGTCTTCTGCATAAATATGTTTTATTATGTTTTGGTACATATATGCATATGTATGTATATATATATATATATATTATGAATACTTTTTTACTGATTCAGCTATACATTTGCCAGATGTAATACTGACATTTTTTTTTCAATCCTGGTGAGTAGGATATTGCTGCTGCTATTGATGAAGAAGATGTCGGGAAGTTTACTGATGCTGTGAAGGAATTTGATAGCATGACCCCACTGGTAAGCTCCAAAAGTTGTAAAATAGGAATACTTGGTGTTTAACAAAAGATATTTCCACTGCATACACACACACACACACACATATATTATCCACAATTTATATTTCCACTGCATACACACACACACACACATATTATCCACAATTTATATGGAAATATTTTCATTAGCTTACACCTGATTTAAATTTCTCCCTGAAAGTTAACCTCTATTTGATTACCGAGAGTGTAATTTTCGTTTTCTTATACTCTTCAAATTACTGCAAATTATGTATTGAGTTTAGGCAGTCTTGTTTCCATTGCTAAAATAATACGTAAATATGTAACCAAATTTGGTAGGATTTTACCATGTCAACATGTGGCTATGCGTAAAAGTATTTTTTGTTTTGAGCGATGCATGTCTAAGCGATGAGTTGCAATAGTGTTTCTGAAGTAGTTGTTTTGAGCTTACACTTTTTTCATTTCATCAAATTCTACAAATTCCTTGTCGATTCTTCTATACGTCAATAGAAAAACCAAGGAAAAGTTGTAATATGTTTCTTTTGTTTTGTCTGTCACATTTTGATTTTTAATTTCCTTTTCTTTTTCATTCCATTTCCGTTGCTCATGAACATTGGCCATGGACTTGTATAGGATTCTTGGAAGACCACACTTCTTTTGAGGGTGAAGGAAAAGCTGAAAGCGAAAGAACTTGAGGAGGATGATCTTACTTGAAGTATACCACTCACTATTTTGGTGGTTGGACCTATTGTTTGATGATTTACAGATGTACCATGCATGTCTATTCAGTTGTTCATTTTACACATCTACACATCTACTTACTGAGTGTCCTTGCTTTCATTTGAGTGTACTTTGGTTTCAATATTGATTTGGTCTGACTGAATTCAAGAAATGAGTTTTTAATATATTATTTGTAACAGATTGTAATTGTTTGTTACTCGACCCTATACTTCTGAATGATTCGGAAATTTTAGCACTAATAAAGCAACTTAAATCTAAAATCTTAAAATAATAGCTCTGCATATTTTTTATTTTATTTGGTAAAACTTTCAACTTATGTCTAAAATTATTGGCTTTTCTAATCGTTTATGTTGTTGGTATCTACTTTTTGAAAAACATAATAAAATGTTACTCATTATAAAT